AATAAAATGAAAGGAAGGAGAGACAAGGTCTGCATGCGTCATAGCAACTATCTCAAGGTCTCCGAACAGGTACTATCACCACTCTTGCAAGCACCGTGTCCAGATGTACCTGGATCTGCACAAGAAGTGCAGAGTGTAGTATGAGTATAACCGACCCAATGTACTCAATAAGTAACAGAACTAACCTTGGCCTGAAAGCTGTGATGAGCTCAGAAAGATACAATCTGAATCGAAATAATGACAACACAGATATAACAAGATAATGACAGTAATAACTCAGAGAACTTTCCATACTCAGCTTGTACACAGTACAGAAACTTAGGCATGCTTTCATGTTCAACAATTTAAGCTCAACACTGATAAAATATTCCAAGTACAACTAGCATGAGGAACGTTACATCTCTATGACTACATTTCAAATATGCATGTCAAATGTAATGCATCACATTGATAACCCTAGGTACTCACACTCTTAGAGTACTCAATCTGTCTGTCTCAACTCCCACTCATCACACACAATCACTCAGCACTGTACAGTACTTGCGCTCACTGTTGGTATGTCAGAATCATTAGGGGCGGATCCTACCCAAGTGCTAATATAAAGCCAATATGGCCTACTGTAGCGTGCAGCCCGATCTCATAATAATAGATAAGACAATAAGGCCTGTTGCAGCGTGTAACCCGATCCCATAAATATCTCTCACAATCCGTCTCTCAGGCCACAACTCAGTCATCAATCTCTCTAGTCTCTTGGGCTCACAAATCTCATACCACTTAGCACGAACAATGCTAACATGATGTAACAGTAAATGATAACAGAGATTGAGATATGATATGCAAATGAATAAATATGACTGAGTACATAATTGCAACTGAAGTAAATAACTCAACTACAGAAATGACCTCAGTGGGTTCCAACAAAATAAGCACATAGCCTAAATATGTTTTCTAACATGTATCACAACTCAATTAACCTAACACGTAGGATTTACATGGATAGAAACAAGACTAGATAGTTACACAACACCACAGAATAAACCGAGTCATAATTACCACGGTGCACGCCCATATACCCGTCACCTAGCATATGCGTCACCCCGAGACCAAGCAAATAACATGTATTCCAGGGATTCATACGCTCAGTACTAAGTTTAGAAGTGTTACTTACCTCAAAGTGCGCAACTCAATGCCCCAACAAACCTTTGCCTCGCGAATCGGCCTCCCAGATCTTACTCTCCAATACATGGGTAAAAAATCCCCAAATTCTAATTTAGATTCACGATAAATAGGTGAAATAATCAATGGGTATTCAATTGTCATGGACAAAAGTGATAAAAAATCACTTACCTCTTCAATCTAGGTGAAAACCTCTCCAAAGATTGCCTCAAACCGAGCTTCCAAAGTCCAAAAATAAAGAAAAGACTCAAACCCTTGTTTATATCTTTCTGCCAGTGATTCCGCACATGTGGTCACTTAACCGCATCTGCGGCCCCACTTATGCGAAAAGGTGGCCGCATCTGCGGCCCCAGACCTTCTAGTCCACTTCCGCTTCTACGATCAAATATGCGCTTATACGCACGCCCACCTTTGCCAAAATGTCTGCTTTTGCGAAAACACAAGACCAAACTGCACTCCACTTCTGCGCTCCGCTTCCCGCATCTACGAGCTCGCAGATGCAGACTAACCTTCGCACCTGCGCATCCCCCGGCTCCCAGCATTTTCCGCACCTGCGATAGCCTGACCATGTCTGTGATCTTCCACCTACGACTAAAGCCTCGCAGGTGCGATCATACTAGACTTGCAAATCTTCAACATTTCTTCAGTCACATCAATCCTGTTTTAATCAGAATCACTCCCGAGGCCCCTGGGACCCCATCCAAACATACCAACACATCCTAAAACATCATACAAACTCAGTCGGGGCCTCAAATCACATCAAACAGCATCAAAAACATGAATCGCACCCCAATTCAAGCCTATTGAAACTAATGGATTTTCAACTTCTACAATCGATGCTGAAACCTATCAAAATAACCCCGATTGACCTCAAATTTTTCACACCTCATAAATGACACAACGGACCTATTCCAACTTGTTGAACCAAAATCCGAGCCCGGTATCAACAAAGTCAACTCTCGGTCGAACTTCTCAACTTTCCAAACTTTCAATTTTCCAACTTTCGTAATTCAAGCCAAAATGACCTACGGACCTCCAAATCGATATCCAGACATAATCATAAGTCCAAAATCACCATACGGAGCTATCGGAACCATCAAAACTCCATTCCAGAGTCGTTTACACATAAGTCAATATCCGGTCAACTCTTTCAACTTAGGCTTCCAGCCTTGGGACCAAGTGTCCCAATTCATTTTGAAATATTTTCGGAACCGAACCAACCCCCTAGCAAGTCAATAACAACAAATGAATATAGAATAAGCAATAAATCAGGAAATGGGACTACAATACTCAAAACGACCGGCCGGGTCATTATAGAGGAAATCGCAAATGCGACATTGGCTTCGCATTTGCGAAGACTATCCTCATCGCAAATGCCACACTTTTGTCACAAATGCGAGCCTACCCAAATCCTGACACTCTTCGCAATTGCGATCTAGGTATCACAATTGCGACACCTGAGACCCCCTACTAGGATCGCAATTGCGATGCTGATGTTCAGAATTGCGACACCTGAGGTATCAACATACCAGCAGTCCAAACCATTCCACGACACGTCCGAAACTCATCCAAGCCCTCGGGACTCCAAACCAAAAATTTACACAAGTCTAAAAATATCATACGCTCTCGCTCGCGTGATCAAAATACAAAAATAATATCTAAAACTACGAATCAAACACCAACACACATGAATTTAAAAGTAAAGTTCAAGAACCTCTAGAATTGCAACCAAATGTCCGAATACTGTCAAACCAACTCTAAATAACACCAAATTTTGCAAACAAGTTCTAAATAGCATAACAGACCTATTCATGGTCCCGATAGCAAAAAGTCAACCTACAGTCAAACTTCTAAACCTCAAACTGCCAATTTCTGGCAAAACAACACAAATCAACCTACGGATCTCCAAATTCAATTCCGGGCAAAGAATATATGACTTGAAGCACGTGACAAAGAATATACGATTTGAAGCATATGACAAAGAATATACTACTTGAAGCATGTGATACAAAAGAATAGAAATTTGAGTATTGGAGAACCTGTAGTCCCTCAAGTAATTGATCAAGTCAGTTATGGTTAGAACCTAAAGTATCCCAGTAAAATCGCTATGTTGTCGCATCCTATTTTGCACAAATCAAAATAATATACAAATTATAGTACTCTATAAGGTTATTTAGAGTTTAGAGTTGCCACTTAGTATTGAAGGTATACTAGGACACCTATACTACACTATATATTGTACACTTTAATTATGGTCTGCGAAACTGTTGAAATTCTAGGTAGGGGTTCAAGTTATCTCAAGGGGAAGGTGTTAGGCATCCCTCGAGATACACAAAATGTAGTTCCGGTAGACTCAATCAAATAAAAGAGGGATTAAATAAAGAATGATTAATGTGATATATACAAAGAATATGAAAGTAGTTTGGAAGAACAGTGATTAAATGTGAGTATCACATGATAGAATATAAACACATATGTAATGGCATACATACAATGATTGTGAATAAAGTATATAAAAACAAATATTGATGATTTAATGAAATGTACAAATTTGATTTGATAAAAAATATATTTAAAATTTCACGTATTATGTATTTACTCTAATTAGAATAAAGTACCTAAATGCTTAAAGTAACTTATTTGACTAAGCATACTCATTATCTATGGAGTTAACTTTAGGCTAATAAATAACATGTATAAAACCTAACTAAGCTTTCACTATACTTGTATTTTTGTGTACATCTAAGAGTGAGTAGTACGAAGCGGGGTATTTTGATGGGGATATCGAGTCAACCCAAATATCGGCTTTGGAAGCAGCTTCATGTGAACGTACCTCGCAAAAAGAAGTAAACATGTTAGTCAACAATATAATATAAAGATGAACTAAGTACAATATTTTACCTCAATATAATATAAAGATGAACTAAGAAAATAATTCCCTTTTTAAAAGTGTTTTGGAAAAAGTTTTTTAAAAAATAGTTAAAAAATATTATAGGAGGCTCAAATTGTATTTTTTATTTTTATCTAGAAATGAGAACGTGAACCGCCTTGGTTGCGACGATGGTGGCCAACCTTGTTGCCGTCCAAAGGTTATTAGTTCGTCACATTCTCATCTTTTTCTTTTTTTGATATTTATCATCAACGCCTCGTAATTTTCGGAGAAATTCGTGGTCTCAATAATTTAAAAATTATTTTCATCGGCCTTTTAGTGCAATGTTCATTCAAATCTGTACATCCAAACAAATCAAAGTTTGGGTTTTATCTTTTCACACGGTCACTCAAAATTCCATGAACGAAAAAGTCACGTCCAAAACCAAACAATGGAACATCTGATCAAGAAAGGCAGAAACCAAAGAAGGCATCCCAGAGAAACATTGAAAGAGGCGAACACGAAAGGCCGTCAAAAAATTATTTCGGCCAGATCTAGTTATTTCCGGCGGGCTATAACCTGCAAGAGAAAAATCAGTATAGAGTTAGAAAATGGGGGAAGGGGAGATGGAGAAGGAGAGCAGTCTTCATCGGAGGTCACTGGTGGCATCGTCGCCCAGCCGATCGTCACCTCCGGCGGCGGCGACAATAGTAGCATAAAGAGTGAGGGAGAATGACGGGCAGTGGGGTCTTGGCCGTTGGGACGACCATAGTCACCGGAGATGGAGCTAAGGGAGGGAGGATGCCTTCTCCATCTTGAGAGAGAGATGAGAGAAAGCCTTTGGGTGCGGCTGATCTCTCAATGAGAGAAGAAGATGCGGGAGACGGCTTTTTTTTTTTTTAGAAAAACGGGAGAGTTAGTGGGTTTTTTTTTTAATCAAATCCGGCAGGCAATGTGCATAGGGTTAGTTTTTGTATATATAACTTAAAAACAAAATGAAATGTATTGAGGTTTTACAAGATGAAAGAAATAAACTTTGACGAGTACACAGTTTCAATTATCAATGTTGAACGATGTACTCGACACTGATATTAGAATATGCAATCTAATAAAGCAATTAAACTGAGTTATAAAAAATAGCCATGCTAATTCTTCGCAATTGATGCCCATATGTAATCTTCTTTTGTTGCAACTCTTGCCATCTTCCCTTCGCCGTAAAAGACATGAACATATTAAATCCAGTTCTGTAGCCACAATTTTCGTTTTTCAGGCTGAATCTGCATCTTCCTTGTATGTGCATCTCCTGTTTTCATCCACATATCTGGTAGCATGTTGTATCGCAAAGTATTCTGTCTTGCCATTTTCTAGTTTCATATGTTCTATCTCCTTGCATCTACCAATCTAATCCCATGTCATTATTTCTTCCTCATGATGTCTAGGATCCAGAAGTACACATACATCAAGATAAAACACAGCACAACCACGGGTATCCTTACTGGTTTCCATTGTGCAACAGTTTTGCACGTAATTGAACCAGTATAGTTTGAGGAAGTATGGTTGTGATTTACAGCGTTGATATGTAGAAAACTTTGTATGAGTCCGTATATGTGAAGTTGAAGTACCGAAATGCATTGGGTTGTCATTCCATAGCTCATCCTTTGATCATGTTTTGGAGTACCAATAGTGCCCGCCTATGGTGAATTTTCTGGGCATCCTCGTCTTGTTTTTCCATTCTTGTGTCCCTTTCGTGTATCTCTAAGAGAGTGAGTGTTGGTTTTAGGGTTTGGACATTTTTATTTGACAAAATTTAGAAGATAAAATATAAAAGAAAAATATACATATTAAAATATGTGGTCCTCATTTTTTGTGAAATAAATGTTAAATGTAAAAGAAAATATGGGGGTCATATGTAAAACCATTAACCTAAAACTATGGGCAAAAATCATGGGCCCAAATANATATATATCAGTGTAATTTATTTAGCTTATAGGAAAAGACAAAATAATGGCCTTTACTCATTGGGTAGAGATTTTCCACGTTGGATAAAAGGGATGTCATGACACATCACATGTGCTGTCAAATCACATGTTTTATCATGCCATGTCACATCAAGTGTTCTGTCACATCGGACGTTGACGGGACATTGAATTTGACTAGACTTAATCCATATTTTGAGATAAATTCTACTGATTCCCATGTAATTATTAGACTATGTTACCAACTAAAATATAATTATTTAATTAAAATATATGGCTTGCGATATTTATTTAAAAATATCAACTACTACAATAGTGTTGTAGTAATCATTTTATTTTTTTAAATGAAAATAAATTGATAGAAAAATCCTAATACTTTGAAAATAGGACAATTATCAATAAATTATTTTGAATTTTAAAAAAATACACAAAAGTTGTAGTATTTAAATAATTACAGTAAATTGATAAGAACTCATGTATTTTGGTAAAAATAGGAATAATTATCAATAAATTTCATTAAGGTTAAAAATGTGTAAAAATGATATATTTTACTATTTAGTGACTAGAAAGCCTGCAAAAGTTAATTTATGTGTCAAAAAGTTATTTAGTGACTAGAAAGCCTGCAGAAGTTATACAGAGGGTCAAAATTATGTGTCAAGACCCATCCCTGAAAAAAAGAGGTGTGATAGCCATTATGGTAATAATCGGACTGTGCATTAATTGGGTACCATTCCATAGTCGCATGATGGTAGCATCATCTTCTAATGACTCGACCGGCCGTCTTGAATGTTTTAGCTCCTTTTTTTCACATTTGATGCATTACACATATGTATTTATGGTTACGTGACTTACGGGGATGGTTGGTTTAGTTTCGGAGAGGTTTTGGATTGATTTGGGATACATAATCCCTTGGTTGCAGGATTAAGAAGTAAGAGTTGACTAGAGTTTGACTTTTATGTAGACGACTCTGGAATGGTATTTTGATAGTTCTAGTAGTTTTGTATGGTGATTTTGGACTTAGGAGTATTTACAGATTTGGATTTGGAGGTTCCAAGGTTGTTTTGGCTTGAATTAGCGAAAGTTAAAAAGTCGATGGTTTGGAAGGTTGATATGTTTGACTGAGAGTTGACTTGGTTGATATCGGGTTTGATTTCGAGAGTTGGGATAGGTTCATTGTGGCATTTGGGACTTGCATGCAAAATTTGAGGTCATTCCGAGATGTTTAGGCACGTTCGGCGTAAGTTTTGAATTTTGAAATTTGGATTAGTTCCTTAGGCTTGAATTGAGATGCGATTCGTGATATTGATATTTTTTTGTATGATTTGAGGCCTTGAATAGGTTCATATTATATTTTAGGATTGGTTGGTGTGTTTGAACAGGGTCCCGGGGGCCTCGAATGAGTTTCTGATGGGCTTCAGATCATTTGTGGTTGTTTGAGGTGATCAGTTCTGGTGCTTTTGCACCTGTGACATTTGGTCCGCAGGTACGAGTCCACAGAAGCAGACATAGGACCATAGATGTGTTATTTGCTAGGCTCTAGGGTGTGTGCAGGTGTGGTCTTCGTGTCGCAAAAGAGACATCACATATTAGTTCGCAGAAGCAGAGTCTTGGCGGCAGAAGTTGATCTTTGGGATCTAAGTTGCTTCCGCATCTACGTTGATTTTTCCGCAGATGCGACTGAGGGACCGCAAAAGCAGAAATACTGGGCAGAATATATCTTGAACTAGGGTTTAATTTAATTTATCACATTTTGCGATAGGGAGCTCTGATTTGGGCAATTTTAGAGGGAATTTTCACAATTTGAATTGGGGTAAACATTTTTGACTAATATTATTTATTATTCATGATTTCAACCTTGATTTAAGGGATTCATCGATGAATCTAAGTGAAGAAATTGAGAATTTTAGTAAAAACGTTTCTAAACGAAAAATGGGGATTTAAATCCCGATTCGGCGTCGAATTTGGATGAAATTGCTACTATTTGACTCATACTCGAATGTGTGTTCGGAATTTGTAAATTTATCGTGTTCCAGGAGGCGGGCCTGGGTTGACTTTTTGAGTTGACTATTTTATTTTTATTCAACATCCAAGCTTTATTATTTGGGGTTATTTATTTATAGCTTGTATTGATATTATTAAGTTATCTTGGCTAGATTCGAGTCGTCCGGAGGTTGATTCACGCGGGAAGGAATTTTAAAGTACTGATTTGGTTTGTTTGAGGTAAGTATCTTACCTAACATTGTGTGGAGAAAACCCCTTAGGTTCTAGCCCTAATTTGTTGATTTTAATGATGTAAAAAGTGACGTGTACATGAGGTGACGAGCGTGTATGCGGGTACTATGTGTAGTTTTGACCGGAATAGACCGTAGGTTATTAATATGCCTTAATGTGATAATGAACTTAATATAAAACATGTTGAGACCACTTTATAAATATTTTATCTTCATCATTACATTGACTAAGCCATAGTCATGCTTTATTTGTTAAACATCCCTCAACTTTTATAATTATGATGTCCTTGTGCACTACTGTTGAAAGTTGTGAGCTTATATCTTGGTTAAACTTTGGTATAATTATTTGTGAAATTGTGGCACTTGGTATCATTGTTTTGTGGTATTTTGGCACTTATGGACATATTGAGCGGATTGGGGGTGTCAGCACGAGGTCTTTGCCATGTGGTTGGGTCGTGGGGCAAAATAAGGGCGGCGATATCTCGAACTGCCCATGTGGCAAAATTAGGGTGGTTAGATGCGCATGTGGCAAAATAAGGGAGACATTTCATTATTATGTACACATGCAGTGAAATAATGGTGGCATAGTTGATGATGTTATGTGATATTTCGCAGTGTCCTTGTTGTTGCGATTGTGTTAAGATGAGATTAATATTTTTATTACATAAATATTTCTAAAAGTTTTTCTTTTGCACTTATATGAGTTAATGGTTGTATTTGACGTGCTATCACATGCCTCACCTCTATTTGATATTTTGTGATCAAAGATGGGTTTTACTACGCTAAGTTGTTATTACACGTTCTAAAGAGATTGTTGTTGTTGTTTCCAGTTATATTTCTGTTGTCAATTTCTTTGATATATTCACTGCACATGTTATTTGTTTAGTGGGTATCATATGACTTGAACCTCGTCACTACTCTACCGAGGTTAGTCTTGATACTTACTGGGTACTGATTGCGGTCTACTCATACTACACTTCTACATATTATTGTGCAGATTCAGGTACTTCAGATCGGGCAATCGCCAGTGAAGCATTTTGTATAACGAAGACTTCATGGTATCCCTGCATGATCCGACCACATGCCTCGGAGTCACTCTCTTTGTTTCAATTCTACTGTTTATGTATTTCAGACAATACTGTATTTTGAGATATTCTCTTATATTCAGTTAGATCTCGTGACTCTGTACTGCCTAGTTCTGGGGAGTTATGTTAAGTATTGCCGCTTTGGCATAAATTATTTCTTTTTTCCATTTATGTTAAACTTTGTTTCGTTATATCATGATTTTATTATTTTAAATAACGTTAAGTGACCAACTTACCTAGTTTGGGATACTAGGTGCCATCACGACCCCTGTGGAGGATTGGGGTCGTGACAAGTTGGTATAGAACTGTAGGTTCATAGGTTCTATGAGTCATGAACAAGTTTAGTAGAGTCTTGCGGATCGACACAGAGACGTCTATACTTATCTTCGAAAGGCTATAGAAATATTAGGAAATTTCACTTCTTTCATTCCTTATCATACGGATTTGTTAATTTCCAAAGTTGAGCCTTTTTCTTTCTGTTCTCTCATATATGGTAAGGATACGAGCTTCAGTTACTAATGATGATGCACCCAGGGCCGGTGTTGCTAGTGGCCAGGGCACAGGCAGAGGCCGAGGTGGTGCACGTGCTACAACTAGAGCACCTGCTAGAGCAGCATCTGAGGAACCATCAGTAGCTCTAGTTTGGGAGCAAGCACCTGATGCGCCTGTTACTACCCCTAGACTTCAGGAGACTTTGGCACATTTTCTGAGTATGTTTGGTACCTCATCTTAGGCGGGAATGATTCTAGTAGCACCAGCTACTTCTCAGGCTGGGGGAGGGGTGCTTAGACTCCCACCGCCCGTACTCCAGAGCAGCGGGCTCTTGTCGACCAGGCTACGAGAGTTATGCCGGTGCAGCTCGTGATTGCGGCTCAGCCCCAGGTCAGTCCAGCTGCATCAAAGGAGGAGCACAAGAGGCTAGAAATGTTCTAGAAGTACCATCCTCCTCATTTTAGCGGTGGGCCTTCTGAGGATGCACAGGGTTTCCTTGACCGGTGTCACCATATTCTACTCACTATGGGCATAGTGGAGTTGAGCGGGGTCGGCCTTACTACTTTCTAACTGACAGGGCCGACATATAAATAATGGAAGGCATGTGAGGAGAGTAGGGCAGTTGGCACAATGCCACTTAATTGGGCTCAGTTCGCTGATCTCTTTTTGAGAGAGTTTGTTCCACAGACCCTCAGGGATGCGCTGCGCACTGATTTCGAGCAGTTGCGCCAGGGGACTATGGTTGTGTCCGAGTATGCTATGAGGTTTACTGAGTTATCTCGTCACGCACCTGCTTTAGTTTTCACTATTAGAGAGAGAGTCCGCGGATTTATTGAGGGATACGGTTAAGGTCTCAGATTTGGGATGGCACGAGAGTTGGAGATTGATACTATATTTCATCAGGTTGTAGAGATTGCTAGGAGGTTAGAGTGTATCCGTGGTTAGGAGGGAGGATAGGGAGGCTAAGAAGC